GCTGGCTAGCTCCCACTTGCTCGAATTTTCATCTTGCAACATTTCTTTATAACTCTGAGGTTCTCCACCATCTGTCAGCAGAATGTAGTTCAAAGTTGGAGAATAATGCTGTGGAGAATGTCTAGCCCTTTCTGACCTGCGAACTGCAACTGTAGGGGTAGACCACTCCAGACTCCTTCAGTGTTGTTTCAGAAACTGTATTGGACTTTTCCTTGTACATTACATTCTCATTGAAAATCACGTTCCTGATCCTTATGATCTTCCGACCCTGATCATCCCAAAAATGATATCCAAATGCATCGTCTACATAGCCAATGAAATAACACTTCTTTGACTTAGCCTCAAGCTTACTTCGAGCATTAGGATTAATGAGAATATAAATGAGAATATCAAAAGTCTTAAGGTGAGAAAATTTTACCTCTTTCTCACTCTAGACTTCTTCAGGTAATTCACAGTTTAATGGAACAGATGGTTTAATGGAACAAACCTCAGGTAATTCACAGTTTAATGGAATAGATGGGTCTCTATTGATCAGATAAATTGCAGTGCTGATTGCTTCTGCCTAGTGGTAGTCCGGCGTGCAATCGTGCAATCTCATGCTTCTAGCCCGCTCATTAATGATCTTGTTCATGCGCTCTGCAACATCATTTTGTCGCGGTGTGCCTGGAGTGGTCTTCTCCATTCTGATTCACTGAGCTGCACAGTACTCCTTGGACCCACCATCAATGTACTCACCACCATTGTCAGACCTCAGACATTTCAGATTTAAGCATGTCTCTGTCTCAATCATGGTCTTCCAAGTCTTGAACACACAGAATACATCAGATTTATACTTCAACAAATAAACCCATACCTTTCTGTTATGATCATCAATAAATGTGACGTAGTAACGAGAGCCTCCAAGAGATGCCACTGGAGAAGGACCCCACACATTTGTGTGTGTAAGATCCAATTTTTATGCCTTTGGTGTCCTGCCACCTTTCAAGAAAATGACATTTCTCTACTTCCCCATAATGCAACTCTCACACATGCTGAAATCAACTGACTTCGGTTTAGGTAGTTTGCCTCTGGACTGAAGTTCTTTCATACCTCTCTGACTCATGTGACCAAATCTACAATGTCACAACTCTGTTGTGTTCTCTGCAACAATAGTATCAACATTGTTAATTAAACTAGTAGCCATATATAGCGTACCTATTTTCTTACCCCAAACCAGTATCAGTGCTCCTTTAGTAACCTTTCAGGCGCTATCTAAGAACACTACTGAATGTCCACACTCATCAAGCTGCCCAACAGAAATGAGGTTCTTCTTCAGTTCAGGAATGTGTCTGACCTTTTGCAGAGTCCACATGTTCTTGTTTGGAAGTGCAATGTCAAAATCTCTCATTTCTACCACGTTCAGAACTTCTCCATCTACCAGATATACTTCCCAAAGTCACCTGCAACATAATTCCACAGCAATTCCCGATGGAAAGTTGTATGAAAAGAAGCTTTTGAATCCAGCATACAATCATCAACAGAACTATGAACTGCCAGTAGTATTGCATCATGTGATTCTTCAGTTACCACATTTGCACTGTCATTTTCTGTCTTCTTATGATTCCTGCAGTTTCTCTTTATGTTGTCAGTTTTGCCAAAATTCCAGCAAGTTACTTGTTTACCAGGCCTTGACTTGCTCCTGTTTCTGTTCTTTAATTTTGATCTTCGCCTGTTTGAGTTCATGTCATGTGATCTCCCTATGTAATTAACATTTAATGTTGAACTCGAACCTGAGATCTCGCCAGAATCTTTCCTGCGCATCTCCTCAGCCAAAATCAAATTATGAATATCTTCATATTTTAATTTTGATTTACCTGCAAAATTACTGACAACCATCCTCATAGCTACCCGGCTATTTGACAATGAAGCCAACAAGATCAGTGCACGTATCTCATCATCAAATTCAATTTTCACATATAATAATTGATTTGTGATGGTATTAAAATCATTCAGGTGTTGTACAACAGATGTACCTTCCGCCATCTTCAAATTGAATAATTTCTTCATCAGATATATTTTGTTATTCGCTGATGGCTTTTCATACATATAATGATTGTGAAAGATTTTAAACATATATTGTTATTAACTCCTGCAAACTTCCTCGGTGCATATTAAAAAATGGCTAGTATATATTAAATTCGGAAGTATGTTATTCAACACTTCTCAACTCAAATCAAACATTTTAATAGAATTACATTCATCGCCAGTAGCAGGAAATGGGGGCATTAGGCGAAAAAAGCTAGAATAATGACTCATTTTTGTTGGCCGAAAATAAAATATGAACTAATTCAATTTATTTGTATTTGTCCTACATGCCAATTAACAAGCAAAATATGACAATAAAAACATGCAGTTCTGTCACAATCATTATCAATTCCAAACAAAATTATCAGTATTATAAGTAAATATTGGCAAGTATTATTCAAATTAATTGGCACTACTTAATTTGAGCTATAGCAATTTATATCGTCCTAAAATAAATGGATGATATGAACTAAAGAAAAGTCATTAATAGAGGATTAGAGCAATAATGAAGATGTTTTGTGATGGATTCTCCATCAAAGTGGGTAAACTTCATATTGGATGTCTTGCGAGGGTTTTGGGCAGAGAATAAGGGCGAGGCTTTCAATTTGAGGAAAGAATAGCCGAGGAATTAAGCACGGGAGAAGGAAAAGTATGGTAATTAGGTTATTAGTTTAATCACACACACACACACACACACACACACACACACACAATGCGTGCTAGAAAACTTGTGGCAGTAGAATAATAGATTATCGTCTCAGCGTTGCACGAGAATTCAACACGCACTCAGATGAAAGAAAAACAATCAGTTTGAAACCGGAAATTTTTACGTGAAAAACCCGTAAGGAAAAAAATCACGGGGTCTAACCAAATTGTAAAAATATATTATTGATTGATGAAAACAGAAACTTTTTGTCCCACAGCGGGAAAAGTGTACTAGATTTTCCAAGCTATAATGTAGACGGATGTCGTTTGATTAGTAGTGTTCGACGACGATCGGTGATTGTCAATGGCAATCGTTAGTGGCAGTTGGCGTATGTCTACAACGGTCGGTAGTGGTCAACAAAGGTCGACAGTGGTCGACGACGGTCGACGGCGATTGGCGATGGTCAAAGGCAGTCCAAGGTGGTTGATGGAGGTCAGCGGTGGTCAACGACGGTTTGTGGTGGTGCTGAACTTCAGGTCCTTCTCAAATTTTCAAGTTCTCTCGGAAGGCTTAGGCCCCGCTTTATGAGAGGGATGTGACTCTATTTATAATGTTCTGAGTGTAATTAATGCAGAAATATGAACCTTTTTGATTGGACGGTTCAGAGAGTTTCCTTCAATCAAACGGTATTTAATGAACATTTGGTGGTCTTATTGATGTCGGAATTGAATGATCTTGAGCTTGTTAGATTCGTCTTGTCAAGACGCTTAATTCGACTATGAACTTGCTAGATTCAACATCAGTTTGACCTTCCAAATCTGTCCGAAAATCTTCCAAGAGTTGTTTAAAGACTCGAATCGGCTTTGATTTGACTTGGATTTGACTAGTTTATATGATTTGGTTCATTTCATCGAGTCGATCAGTTTGACCATAAATTTGTTGAAATCAGAGTTCATTATGACTTTTAATTGAAGTCTAAATGTTTCTTGTTCAAAAAAGTGCCTTGAGATTCATGTCAATGCCTTGAGATTTATGCTGGATGATGAAAGTTTGTTGGTGGAGTGTGTGTGTATATATATATATGAGCCGCGTTCCCAGGTCAGTTGGTAAAGCACCTGTTTCGGCTATGTAAGTCTCTTCTGGTCTGAGGTTTGAATCCTGCCTCTGGAAACTATTGCCTAGAATGAGAGGGTCCTGTGAATGGGTTGGCTCATGGCTCGTGCTACCTAGCGTTGCTGGCGAAGCCCAAAGTGATTGGTTGGCAGTTCCGCCCATCAAATTATTTAATAGTTAATTACTAAAAATAAAATGCACTTTTTTAATTATTAAATTTATAAGTAATTATTTATTAAGATAATTAATAATTACTTAATTATTCATTTGTAATTGTTAAATTATTGCTTAATAAATGATTATCTTAATATAATTTTAATTTATAATTAATTTTTTTAAAAATAAATTAATTATGAATTAACATAACTATAAATTAATATAATTTCATTTAACAAAATTCATAACCAATTTTCATGATAAATTTAATTGAAATTTTAGTAACAAACTTAAAGCCTGATAGAAGTCATCAAATGGTTTTGTAGGATTTAACTCAATTTATTAGAGCTCATATCACACAAACTTTAAGATTTATCCACGCATAATTTGCAAAACCCGAATTTCCATGATTTATTAATACCATTCGAGTTAGAATTCATCCATGGCCATACAGCCCTTAAACTTGTAACAAAATCAGATGATTAAATTAAGTTTTATATGATACGACAACACTCTTACAAATCATTATTGTATGCCGTTTAAATACCACAGCCGTAGGTCCGTTTGACTGTACTTTTAACTGCCAAAACTCCTTTTTTTCAAAGTCTTAAATACCATTAAAAGTTAATTACATGGATCCAAAAAAACCATAAATTAAACAACTATTATTAATTTTAAAGATAAGATTTTAAACAACAAGCAAAGAAATGTGTCCTTCACCTGTCCGTACATTCACATATTTTCCATGCTTAAAATTGAAAAGACTTACCCCAGCACTACATTTACCTAGAAGCAAGATTCACTTCATCCATAACACCAATTCAACAAATGTAACAGATAAGAATGATAGAAAGAAATGAGAGGACAAATTAAATCATCTCACTTTATTTTAGAGATAGTTGACAATATTAAATAATGTAAACAAAGGTAAGAAAACGTGGTTTTCCCATTATCATTTCCTCCCACATCACGGATCTTCCTGCAAGCTGGAGAAGCTCTTATAAAAGCTTTCAGATTTCTCTTCCACATTTTCTATCTTTGAACAACTCCTAAACTCTCTCCATCTTCTTCTTCTTTTTGTTTCTTCTAGTGTTTTTATCTTCAACTGTTGCCACTTTTAACAACCATGGATGGCGGCCTTCATTTGCTTCCAGGCTTCAGATTTCATCCAACTGATGAAGAGATTATAACCCACTATCTGTTAGAGAAGGTTATGGATCTAAGCTTCAAGTCAATAGCCATTGGTGAAGGGAGCTTCAATGAGTGCGAGCCATGGGATCTTCCAGGTACATCAAATTTAAAACACAAAAAAAAAGTCTTTTTTTGCAACCTTTTAACTATTGATGTGCATGCATGCAGTTCCCTATCTTGGATTCCAATTCACTTTTAAAGTGGATTAAATGGGCTATTAAATATGATATCATATGCATTATGTACAGGAAAAGCTAATATGGGGGAGAAGGAATGGTATTTCTTCTGCAAAAGGGATAGAAAGTATCCCACAGGAATGAGGACCAATAGAGCCACATCAAGTGGCTACTGGAAAGCAACAGGAAAGGATAAGGAAATATTTAGGGGAAAAGGTTTCCTTGTTGGGATGAAGAAAACCTTAGTGTTTTACAGTGGGAGAGCTCCGAGAGGAATGAAGACAAAATGGGTCATGCATGAATACAGGCTTGATGGAAAGTATCAGTATAATAAATTTTCCACATCTCATCAGGTACATATATTGATTTTCAAATTAAAATTTTGTTCTTTCAAACATTGATTCCTCTTTATTTTCCTTCCCTTACATGGAAACAAATGTTCTCAAATAGCATATCATTTTTTATTTACCATTCTTTTAAGCAATGAGTATTTAGAATTTGCTTTACTTATGAATTAAAAAATTCTTAATTTAATATGAAGAGTATTAAGATGAATATTTGATAAAATTGGAAGGAAAAAATTAAAAGAAGGTATGTTAAAGGATAGTTTGAGTGACGTATGCCAATGATAATTTGGCTAAAAATAGGCAACATATACGAAAAAGGGCAAAATCTGCACTCAAATATAAATGAATAAATAAAATTAGTATTGCAAGATTAGTAAGGAATTAAATAGTGTAAACGATAAATGAATAAATAAAATTATTGCAAGATTAGTAAGGAATTAAATAGTGTAAACTAACATTACGCATATAGCAACAGCTTAAAGTAAAAGATAAATAATACTTTTACTTTCTTAGGCAGCATTCAAGCGGAATAAATTAAAAACTTAAGAATTCATATAAAAAATAGACTTATTTGGGTAAGTTCATCAATAATTTATTATTCTATGAAATTAAACATGATGATTTCATTTCATAAAAAGCTACAACATCACAAAACCACACAAGTATAACAACTAAATCATAAGTTCTAAATAACCAAATAATATGATGCATATAATGATTTATATATATGTGTACAGGATGAATGGGTTGTTTGCAAGGTGTACAATAAAAAGGATACAAAGAATAGCACAACACAGCAGGAAAAGGATGAACAGTTCCTTTGTGGATGATTTGTTAGTCGAAGCCCCCGATCAATCTCCACCTTTTGCAGAGCCTTCTTTCTTCTACAACTTTAGAAACAAAGACAATGAGGAAGCAAAAGGAAAAGAAAATGAATATATGCAGTCATTTTTCACAATGAGGCCGGAAAATCAATTTATGAGCCATTTGCTACAGGAGGAAGCAATGTTGAGGGCTGCATCTAACTCTGATGGAGCATCTTTTTTCTTGAGTGGAAATGGTGCTAAAATAGAGAAGAAGTGGAACTCAAACTCGCACTCAGTCTTCAGTGCTTCAATAGATAAAGGAATGAGCTCAGAAAGGAACTTGAAGGAGATTGGCAGCTTTCAATCATACGAAAAAAATCATTCTACAGGTTTAGGACAAGTGGATTTTGATTGTATGTGGGACAATAGATTGATTTGAAGGCCATTAATAATGCAAAGTATTATTGCTTTGCTCTCCAAGGAATTCATGCATGTTTGCATGTATATGTTGTTATGTTGATAAATTAGTTACACAATGGATGTCAAAAAAGTAATTAACATTATTTTCAGTGAAATAAGTTAGCTTGCAAATTAATAAATTCTAGATTTTTTTAAAATTTGTCGCAGTACCTTTTTTTTTTAATTTTTTTAGTAAACAATGGTGTAATTATTAAATCACATATAGTATGCATAATTGAAAAAAAATAGTATAAGCCACTTGTGATTGAAATATCTGTCATGACTAAAAAACATAGCTGGGAATTTTTTTCAAAGTCTCTAAAATTTTCTTAATCTTAATTATGATGAAAAGACATTAAATATTCATCTATTTCCAACTTGCACATATTAGTTCATCAACACATTAATAAGATCTTCAAACCCATGATGCGAAGGAATTTTAAGTAGTATAAAGTGCACGCTTTCCACCTTTCTTTAAGCTTAAACCTATTAGTTGAAAATTAGTGCTTAATAATGTTTTTTAGGCATATAAATATTAACAACATAGAGCTTAGAAAATTAGAAAGTATTGCATATTGATGATATCATATTTGACCAAATAAAGAATTCGAGAGCTTCATGGTTTCCTTCCACTCAAAAGCTTACTTGCCCCTACCAAATTCCTCTTTCAAGCGCGGAATCTGCACCAGATGTTTGCATGGCCTTTTTCTCCTACCAAATTCCTCCTTTAAGCGCGGAATCTGCACCAGATGTTTGCATGGCCTTTTTCTCCTACCAAATTCCTCCTTTAAGCGCGGAATCTGCACCAGATGTTTGCATGCCCTTTTTCTCAGGATATATATATATATAATTATAAGATCTTTAAACTCGAAGACCAAACGATTAACCGTGATTTAGGGATTAAAAACATTAATTACGAAGGGAATTTCATCATATTTTGTGTTTTGAAGTATTATTCATCACACAAATTATATTTAAAAAATGGAATGGTTTGCTTATCAGTAGTAGCTCACTTAAAAGACTAATTTTAACCACTTGTTTCTTAAAAACTCTAAATGTTGGGAGCAATTTTTGAAATATTTGTGTCGGATCATTGCTGTGAACTCACACCTTTAGGAAAGTGTTAGTAATGAGACAAGTGAGCAAAAACTATGGCGGAAGATGTTATTTTTCTTTAGAGAACATGAATATACATTGCTCAATATCTTGAGATCGATCATTTGTTAAATGAATTTCAAGCTCTTATTTTGATTTTGACATCATATTAATATTATCTCTATCAAAGCCTATTTTGACGTCTATCCCACATGCTCTCATTATGTTATATCTTTGTCACCCTATTCAGCCTTCATGACAATCCATCACAAAAGAATTTGACATTGATGCGGATCCGATCCTCTTGGAGAATGGGCGATGATCAACAAATCGTAGCAGGCAAACTAATGTCTCGTATTTAGGAGCTGGTAGTCAACTACTTATATTTGGTAGTTAATTTGTACTGGCTTACTAGTAATCAGTCGTTGGCACTCAACATGGTAGTTAATTTGTACTCAGTAATCCGCTATAGCTTGTCATTTAACTCCTGAGCTTGGGTTGTATAAGGTAGCATCGGGCTATACAATCCATAAATTGAAGATGCAATTATCTTCTCATATAATGTTGTACTCCAAACCATAAATTGAAGATGCAATTATCTTCTCATATAATCATGCGAGGACTTGATCCATAAAATTGATGAACACAAAAATTCTTTATGAAAATTGAGTCTGAAACTATTTTTAATACAAACTAATTACGTAATACTTCATTAATTTTCATATGCTTTTAGCTACAAAGGGTTAGAGATATCCATTCAAAATTGTTTGTCATGTCCATATTTGCCACTTGTTATGTTTATCGTAATGGCAACTATGTTGCATTTATTGCAAAAACAACGCTTTCCGCCCCCCAAATAGATCTGCATTTAGACTCAAAATTGCTTATTTAGAAACAAAAGACAAGAAATTTCAATGTTCTTAACCAATTTTTATTGGACCATCTAAACATAGACGCATAAAAAAAACAGAATATATAATTTATAAATTTGAATTCATTGTCTTCCGAGCAGTTAAAATAATTTTTTTTTTCATAAAAGATGAACATAAAAAATACAAATATTAATAATATCATAGTCATATTCGAAAGAGATTTTCATATCAGACGATCTTTTTCACTTTTCAGAGAGCAGAATACATTAGTCTTGTCAAATCATTTTTTATGTTCATAGAATCGATTTAATATTGGGATAAGCTTGTAAGTCCAAAGGGAAAAGTCATGTTTATCCAAATGTGCGCTTTAGCCAACTAGCCAAGTGGGCCTTTAAGGTTTCTTTCTCGTACCAGCACAAATTCGGATGCATGGAAATTGGAACAGATATGCATGCGTCCAACCTATCCTTTTACTTTCTATGACGGATGACTGTGAGATGATTTAAACCGATGCGCATTTTTGCTTTACTTTTATATTTTGTTGAAAGTTGGAGCATAATTTGAGTTCAATAAAGATTAAGAAATTATTTATCCGCACTACAGTATTTTAGAGTGTAACTTTTCAGGTCACAGATTTGAATTCCACATATTATCAGTTGGGCTTATATTTTCTCTTAAAAAAATGATGGAGGCGAACTTGTTGAACCCATCAAAATATATAATCTCTTAAGAGCACAACGCGAAGCTAGGCCAATCTGAAGCCTGGACGACCCGAGGTTAGGACGATCCGAAGCCTGGATGACCCGAAGCCAAGACATCTCGAGGCCAGGACGAGCTGAAGCCTGGACGATTCGAGGCCAGGAGGACCTAAGGCCTGGATGACTTGATATAGCCGAGTTGAAGGCTTATAGATGTAAAATACCAAAAGTAACATGTACAACCATGATTAACGTCAAATTAGAAATGCAATATCTTCATATTATTATCCATCCCCTATAAATAGGGGATCATTTCATTTAAAATGCACCCATTTTTAATTTTGGGCTCTCTCTCTTCTCCTATGTATAAAAATTCGCTTAAGCTCAAAATTACATAATTAAGATTCTAAACTAAATACATTTTACTATGTTATATCACTATTGATACCCTTATTCAATTTGTCTGTTCAATTATCTTATATTAACAAAATATTATGTTATGAGCAAGGATTCATGTCCCTCTAGTTAATGGTGAATACTATTTTTTTCAAGGTCATGAGTTCAAATCACTTTGTAATTTATTGCTCATCATTTCTCTTTGCAAAAAATCACTCGTTATTTAACCTTGGAAATTATTATCATATCTTATGCTGAATGAGTTTGGTAACTTGATTTAAATAAATATGACTTTCAAGAAGTAAGTTTATAATTAAAAAATAAAATCGATTCCTTGGATGCCCCATGAGTGGTTTAGTTTAAATGACTCGATTGCATTTGACTCTTATTGTGGAATTCAATCCAAAATGCATAATAGTGATCAATGAGATGTTTGTCATTTAGAGTTCTTCTTATCTCTTCTTTTGAACATCTGTGTAGGCCATGATGCAGACGGGGTATCCAAAGAAATATGAAATGAGACTTCAACAGTTAATAACATGTTCTTAAAGATTTCAATATCCTTCATTGTCATTGACTAAGAGGACAAATTCTCGGTGAATGACAGTTTCAATCAATCCTGAATTTTTTTCTTCCAATCCGAACCAACACAATGAGATGCTTACGGGAAAATTATTGCTTCCGATGAACCGCACGTCCGATCAATCCTGAATTTTTTTCTTCCAATCCGAACCAGTCAATGAGATGCTTTTGGGAAAATTATTACTTCCGGTGAACCGCACATCCGAACATCACATGTCCACGTCGCCGGCACTTTTTGTGGTCTGTTTGTCGCCAATGACTAAATGTGCAATCTTGGACGTAATAATTTTTTTGATGCATATGGTCTTAAACTTGAGATAATTAATGGCCACTAGTTAAAAATAAATGTATAAAATTTAAATATTGAAAATTTAAGTTACAGCACATTTAGTCTAAAAAATGTAATAATTTTAATTATTATTCACATAATTGTTTCAACTCTAAAATAGAATGTTTCATCATCTTAAAATCATATGGTTTAAAGAAGAAAAAACTATGATTTGCATAACAAAAGTTATAATTACAAATCTTGCTGGATTTGGCTAAACGGTTAATGTTAACCACAATAAGTTTAGCATTAAATGCAAATTAAAATTTAAAAAATGTGACTAAAATTTATTTTAACTACTTTAATAATTTAATAATCTATATTTTATGACATTAGGGATTGACAAACGGTTGGTAGTACTATTTCTTCTTCATGTCAAGATATTTAGTTTATGATTCCATCTTGAAGGCAATGTCACCAAATTATTTTTCTTCGTTATAATCAAAGATTTTCCCGGTTTGATTGCGTTTGTCTTGATTCTCTTATTCTTCTTCTTGTTCAGCATGTCATTAAGTTTGTACTTCTACCACAACCACCTACTAATTATAGCACGGATTGAGTTGGATGTTCTAGCTTTCAAATGAATACTTTGCCATATCTGCCATCAAAATCTTCAGATTTTTGCCACATTCTTGGAGATCTATTTGCATCTTCACATGTTGATTGTAGATCTATGCATAAGCGAACTTCTCCTCCATCATCACGATGGAAATCAATCTATAGTCAAAAAAGAGTATTTTTCTGGGCCCAATATATGATGCAATACAAATATAATTGACGTTGATACGCTGCCAAGAAATTTTCATCATCAAGCATGAATCTTGAGGCTGACATGAATCTCAAGACAATCTTTCGAGCAATAAACATTCATAGTGCTAATTTCATTAAACATTCAAACTTTAATTAAGGTAAGACGCAATATGAGTGCTATCAGACTCCTTTTTCAATATCATCTTCTCTTCTCTCCTCACAAGCAAAATCATCATGACCTTCCACTTTTTTTTGCTTCCATACCTATTTCTGTTAATCGATCGGATAAAACATTTCTTAGTGCCAATCTGATCAGGTTTAAATGTTTGCAGAGAGGCTAGCTTTGGGA